CACCCCCAGCCCCACAAGCAGTACCTTCCTCTTGATGAAGGCAGCCAGGGGGCCCTTGCCCAGCTCCGAGCTGGACTTCTCAGTCACACTGAGCGATGGTGCCATCATCTGCCCGGCCGTGCGGTCCACATAGATGAAGTGCACCAGGCCAGGAAAGTCCTCCAGGTATGTGGGGTGAGTTAAGGGTGTCCAACAACTTTGGTGCCCTTCCAGGACAGCCCCTGAGCCTTGGGGAAACTGCCTTCGCCCACCACACTCCTCCCCTTAAGCCTGGTGCTGGGGGGACAGGGTCCCACTCCCACCTCTGCTACGCCCCGGGGACCCTTGTTCGCCGGGCTGGGCTCCCAGCCACAGGGACGGGTATGACACCATGGTGATATTGCGCCTGCTCTTCACCAGCAAAAAGTCCCGCCAGTCCAGCAGCTTCTCCCTGCCAAGAAGAGGCATGGTGAGAGGCCGGGACCTCCGAAGCCCCGGCACAGCTGGGTGTGAAGCAATCCCCCAGCTCCCCTGGGGATGCCGGCTGTGCCCATGGACTCACCTCATCAGCTTCTGGGCACGGTCCCGCAGTCCCTGGGACAGGCTGTGGCCAGCAGAGGCCAGGAAGAGCTGGCGGTACACGGAGCAGAGCTGCCGCTTCACGTTGGCCACTGCCTGCAGCAGCCTGAGCCGGGAGACACAGACGGCACAGAGTTTGGCCCCTGGAACCCCAGCGCCGCAGGGACAGCCATGCTGCCCCCCAGGCTGGGAAAGGTCCCTGCCTGCCCCGGAGACTTTCCCTGGCCACCCCGTACTCACTCCAGGGAGCTCCCAGGCTCGCTCCGGGAAAATATCTTGCTCTTGAAGTCCACCCAGGTGTTCTGCAACTAGAGAGAGACAGGGCTCAGCGTCAGGCTGCAGGAACAGCAGGACAGGGTCCTTGTGTCCCCACTCCCACCTGGATGTCCTGCCCACTCAGCTTCTTCACAAACTTGTCCATGCGCTGCCGCAGCTCAGCCAGGAACGGGTAGGAGCGTGGGGCTCCCGCCTCCGGCCCCTCTTCCAGCTTCCTCTCCAGCACCAAGAAACCATCCAGCAGCTGGTACAAGGTAACGGCCACCTGGGTCATGGGGCCCTGCCAGGGAGGGGAGAGGTAGGTCAGCCAGGACCCAGCCCACCATCGCTTCCCTCACCTTAGAGGTAGCTCACCTTGGTCAGGAGGACAAGGGAGATGCCTGGCCAGAGTGGGAGGCAGTGCATGGTGTGTGGCAGCAAGGGGCAGTAACCTTCCCGCAGGTTGGCATCCAGGAAGATCCTTCTGGGGTTTGAAGCTTCAGGGACCAGAGGCCCCAAGGTCTGGAGCAAATCCTCTGCCATCTGGGGAGAGAAGGGAGATGCTCAGCCCCCTGCAGGGACAAGACAGCCCACACCAACCCAGGACGCTCTGGTGGGACACAGCAATGCCCTGAAAGCTGCAACCGGGCATGACTGAACTGAGGGAGCTGGAGGGGCCATGCAGCAAAAGATCAGCAGCGAGGGAAGCGCCCCGGGACCCCAAAAGAGCAGCAGGTAGAGGGGAAGCCGCTTGCAAAGACACAGGTTGCAAACACCTTGCACCAAGGCCAGCACTTGCTTGCAGAACGCGTGTGAGGCTCTGCGGCATCCGGCAGGGAAGCAGCCCAGAAAGTCCAGAGGCAGCAGAGGGAGACACCAGACTGCTCCGAGGCAGCCCTGGTCCCTCTGTGCCGACAGCTCTGGACAGGGAGACCATAAGCAATGTCCCAGGGAGTGTGGTCAGAGCCTTCACAGGGTTATGCACAACACGGGGGATGTGGGGCGCATCCCTAGCTGCAGCACAGCAAGGGACGAGTGATGAGGACCAAAGACCGCAAAGAGCACCAGGACAGGCTGGGGAGGCATGGAGCTGGGGGGGACCGCAAGACCCCTTGCTCACCTGGACATCTGCAGCGTCTGCCTCCCCGGTGCCCAGTATCTCAGCGCCCTCCAACCAGCTCTCGCTGCCTGCAGGGAGCACGGCAGGTCGCCCTCCCCGCCAGCCCCCCACGCAGCCCCAGAGCCTTCGCAGGGCTGGGGGGCGCAGGGCAGGGCTGCTGCCCAGCCGGGCACTCACCCGTGCTGTGCCCGCCTGGCGAGGGCTCCGGCGTGTAGTAGACCTCGGGCATGGAGAGATCATCTGTGTCCTGCCAGCAACAACAGCTGGGTCAGAGATGAGAGTGATGCAGGCAGCCCAGCCAGCATCCCACCCTGCAGCTCCCAATCCCAGGGACTCACCTGGTCATCCGAGTCCTTCTCTGCAGCTCCGTGGGAGCCAGGGCCACTCACAGGGATACTCTCACTTCTCTTGGGTCCCTGAGGGAGCACTTTCCCTGCCACAGACTTCCAAAAAAAAGGGGAAAAAAATTAAGCCCTGGCCGCCAAGACATCACCCTGCTGGGGCACCCTGACCCGCTGCCCCCCACACCCTGCTCTGGAGCACCTGGGGGTCGAGCTCCTCCTCGGCACTCTCGCTGGGGTACAGGTCCTGCACCAGGAGGATGAGGATGAGCAGGTCGGCGGGACGGATGGAGCTTGCATTGCGGCTGCGGGCCAGAGAAGGGAAGGCTCAGCCAGGAAGGCAAGAGGCTGCCCCGGGGAGGGTGGTGAGGCTGGGGCCGGGCGCACCTGGAGTAGAAGGCCAGCAGCTTGGTGTGCACCAGAAGGAAGGCATGGCCCACCTCGTCGCCGCCGCGCTCGGGGCTGGCGTTGATGTACTGCACCACCTGCCGCTCCAGGAACTCGATGCACTGCTCGCAAAGCTGAGGGTGGATGAGCCGCTCCACGGCCTGGGGGGCAGGCGGGGAGAAGGCTGCTGAGCCCCCACAGACCCAGCCATGCAGCCTCGGGGGCAGGTCTGAGCCTCCATTGCTCCAGGGATCTGCCCCAAAGTCCCCGGCCCGGAGACCTTCCTTACACCCCGGGATTTCACACAGTCTCACACCCTTGGGATGCCCCAAAGGCGAGTGACACCTTGGGGCATGGTACCTCCACCGCAAAGCTCTGGTCCTCCTCCCGCAGGTGGCTGTAGGTCTCCAACAGGCCCCGCAGCAGGCTCCAAACACGCTCCCGCTGCTCCGAATCAGCTGGCCGCAACCTGCAATGGCCGCAGAGTGTGAGCTGAGAGCTGGCTGTCACCTCCCTGGGGGAACGGGAACCCCCGAACCCAGCTGCAGCCCAGCAGGCAGGGGGTCCTGCTGCAAGGGGGGCTCCCAGCTTGGAGACACCCACTCCCACCCCTCCAGGGCTGCATGAAGGCACCACTCGGCAGCTGCCCCGGCTCCCCTGTGTGCCAGCCCGTGCCGGCCAGCCGTGCCCACTCACTCCTTGCGGACGAGGTGGGAGTCGAGCGTGACGAGGCCACAGTGAGCCTCCACCAAGCGCCGCAGCACGAACAGTGTCCGGCGCAGGTCGTCCTCGCTCTCCGTCCCGTCGCCATTCACCGCGATGTACAGGCAGTCCCCAAACTGCAACCGGCAACGGGGTCAGGTGGGGGCCGTCCAGGGCACCCCGGTCCCCGGTGCCGGCCCTACCATGTGCAGGACGTGGAGGTGCCGTCCGTGCTCGGTCGCGAAGCAGGTATAGGTGTCGGCGAGCTTCTCCAGCAGCGCCGCGCAGGAGATGATGAGGGGGGCGAAGAGGGTGTTGAGACTGTCCTCCAGCGCCGGGCCCTGGGGCACACACCCCCAGGTCAGCGCCCACGCACGACCGCGCACCACGCACCCCCTTCCCGCACCGCACCGCCCCGTCCCGTCCCGCCCCACCTGCCCGGC